AAAGCCTTCAGCTGATCCAAAATGCTGCAGCCAGAGTTCTGATGAAAAGTAAAAAGAAAGATCATTTCTCTCTTATCCTAACTTCTCTTTATTGGCTTCCTGTTAAATCCAGAATAGAATTTAAAATTCTCCTCCTGAGTCACAGAACACAGACTTAATATTAAAATATAAGAAACCTACAAGAATTAAAGCAAAAAATAACAGAGTAAAAATCAGTGTATTAATTATTTTATTTTTGAAATATAACTATTAATACATAGACTTCGGCTGTTAAAGATATGTAGGAAAAATTTCTAAATTGGATTTTGCTGCTTGTGAAGGAGGATGATCACTGATGCAGCTTAAAGGGAAACCATCCATTTTTTTGGGGATGGATGGATTTTAAACTGTACATTCTAGGGATACATGATATATTTACTTTGGCATCGGAATCGGCTGTTATTCATTATTTCATTATACATTAATGTGCAGTGCTGTCAAAAGAACACACATTTGTTACTTAAGTAGATAGTAAGTATAGATACTGCAGTTTAAAAACACTGGTAAAAGTTTAAGTATCAACTTGACCTCTTTACTCAATTAAAAGTGAAAAAGTATGTGCTCCAAAAACTTCTTAAAGTATAAAAGTATAAAGTAACCTTTAAAAAAATAACCTGATGCCACTATATGAATTGAAAGCTCAATTTTTCACTATTTTGAAAAATTCTTTGAGATAGGGCCAAGGATGAGGGAGGTCTTGTTGGTCTCCATCTCCCGATACGCTCTGGCCTGTGTCCGACCTTTCAGACATTTCAACATCTTTTTCTGAATCCTCCATTGTAGCATGGCATAGACAATTAATGTTTGCAGTTTGAAGAACACCTGCTGCTTCTGATGATTTCCTTTAGCTAACCAATGAGTGTTTGCATTATATGACTCATCTAATTACACTAGTTATCACTAGATGTGGATGGAGCCAATGATCTGCATTGGATGGAGCACATATAACTATCTATAAACATAAATATCAGTATATTGTGGTTCTCTTGTGTTTTTAACAATAAGAAAAGCATTAAATAAATAAATAAATAAATAACTATCTATAAACATAAATATCAGTATATTGTGGTTCTCTTGTGTTTTTAACAATAAGAAAAGCATTAAATAAATAAATAAATCTTTAAGGTAATTTTTGGGAAATAAAGCAACCTAATGAAAGTGTTCGGGTGGAGTAACTATAGGTCCATCAGCCACCACCCTTAGAGTGTCCCCACCAACTTTCATCACTAAGTGACACCCTAGGTGACTCCCTACTAATGTGTTTTTTAGCCAAATTTGTCAATATTGATGTCAACTGTGTATTCTGTAATACTGAGGAAGAAACAATCATCTATTTTTTGAATGTACAGTAAATTGTCACAGATATTCTGGACAGAAGTTGAGGTTTCCATCATATCACACTCCAACAGACCAATTAAACTACAAGTCAAAGATATTATCTTACACTATACTAATAATGATAGGAAAATGCAATTTATGGTTAACTTGATTATTCTAATTGCAAATTTTCACATACACAAAACCAAATTTTCCAAAGGTCGACCTTTCTTCCCTGTGTTTGAAAATGATTAAAACATTTACTTCAATTGTATCCCGATAATCAACAATAAAAAATGTATTCAC